TTTTTATTTTTGTCACCGAATTTTTCTAAACTAGAAGAATTTAAAAATCACTCTTTCACTATTTCTGCATCAGTAAACGGTTTTATATGATTACCAATGATATAACAAATTTCATAGGGTGCCTTTGTTATCGCTGTGACAATACCACTGACAAAACACTTCTTTGCTATTGCAAATATTATTCAAGAAAGCCTGTTTATCATTTCTTGAAAGAGATCTTCGAGAAAAAGTGCTATCGAACGATTCCCGTTTATTGGAATTTTTTAAATACAACACTTTCATGGCGAATCAAACAATTACTGAACCATGCTTGTTTTTCACTACAAAATAGTCAACTTCCCAATCGTCTTGAAACAATCTATTTTCTTCGAATATTTTTCACTTGCAAGATATGAAAGATAAGTTAAATTAATTCCGCTCATAAAATGGTCGCTACTCCCCTGTTATCTATTATCACTAATCAGGGGTAGAAATATCAATTCGCACCCATACGATATCAACAAAAAAAAAGAAAAATTAATACATTTGATTTTCTTAACGAAGAATTTCCCATCATATTTTCATAAATAAATGAATTTCCCTGAGCAATGGGCCTTGACCGGACCACTTAAAAAGGCCCGGTGGGCCGCGGGATGCAGGTTGAGTATCGCTGTTCTAAGCTATGAAAAGTAACATATAAAATATTTATTACTTCAAAGTAACATATACAAAATTCAATGCTTATATTAATAATTTGAATGGTTTATAAATAATGTCGTATTGTAGCCTTAGCGTAAAAGTATATTTTGTTGCTTTCAATACATTCTCGTTGTATAAGGATTGAAAATTGTGTCGCCAATATTGAAAGTTTGAGAAAGCATCAGAGAATATTTCAGAATTAACGCCAAGAGTATTTTTCAGAGCTCTAATGGAAAACCCAAATCGCTAATAACAATTCAACTTTTAGAATTTTTTTTTAAATTAACAAAGAAATAAAGGAAGAATTTTTAGAGAAAATATAGTGAAAATACGATTATATATTCATATCTAAGTATACTGCTTATGAGTTAATATTTGGTTGGTATAAAATAACCCCCTTCAATTTTTTTACGCATAAAAATTACTGAACAGATGCACTCTAATCACTTAATTTAAAAGTTTTAATTTAAAAAAATTTAGTTCTTGTTAATAATGTTTTAACTACACTTGTTAAGCTATCTAAAAATTGCATTTCAAATTAGTAAAAAATTAGCCTATGTTATTCTAAAGAAGGGATGGGCAGACTTTAGCAGGACACGGGCTACTTCTAATTTTTTCAGGGAGTTGCGGTCCACCCAGTGTCAGTGGCGTACGTAAGGAAGGGGAGAGGTCCACGGGTCCGGATCCTCTCTCATAACCCTTCATTTTTTCCAATTCATTATAGTCCCATGTCAGTAGCGCACACAGGAATTTTTCAAGGGAGGGGGGAGAGGTCCGGGGTTGAAAGTTCATCATTCTTGTATCATGCTATTTTTGATTTTG